TTAATTTAATTGTGAAGTTTCCACTTTTTTTTTTTTAATTTGTTGCCCATTTGACTATTTAAAAGAAATAGTTGAAGATGGTTTATAAAATATAAACAAGGGATATGAAAAACTATTTAACTATTTACTTTTAATGAAAATCAGGAATTTATAATGGTTGTGAGGCCTAGGTAAACTAACCTATCTTGTAGTATGGTTAGTCTCCCCACTACTTTTAATTCAGTCTCCCCTCCACTTCTCGTGAATGAACCTTTGATTTCCGGATGTTCGGAAATCCGCAGCGCACGACCATCAGTACTTCATTCACTACCTTACATGACAATTCGGAACGTCATTAGTGCAATTCCGATTGACCGTGTAGGGTCCTCTTATGTCTCTAATTTTACTACATCTATTTTATTATTCACTGCTTTGAAGTACCATTACATCATACTTCCTTAATTTATATATATAATTTTTATCTTTATATTTTAATATATTATTTATCAATATTTATGTTCTGTGTTATCTTGTCTTTGCTTAGTCCTGATTAAGGCCCGAAACTCAGGCCGAAATATTGGCACAGTGGACAAAATAAATGTAATTTATTCATTCATTCATTTTTTTCACTTTGTTCATTCTTTGACTGAACACCCGAACCAACTTCTCTCCAAATATCTTCTACAGTCAACTATTATCCACTATCATAATTTTATGTTTCATTTCATTGCAGAATGTAAATTATATATAATTTTGAGAGACTTTTCTTAAAAATTTGAAAAAGAAATTAAGTTTCCATATTATAAAAGAGTATAAGGAAATATTAGAAGAAAAAGAACATTAAATACCATTATTATTATTATTTTTGTTCTTAAATAATTAAAAATTAAATAACGTTTCTTGTGGGTGTGGCATATAATGCTGGTCTTCCTGTACCTGTATTCTTTGATGGCCTATGCCTTACTCAAGCGAATTCTTGTTGGCAGAAAAGTCGGAGGTTATTCTTACGAGGCAGGAAGGTATTTAAAGATGGATATCGGCTTTCCTATTAATAGAATAGAGGGTTAGGGAGGAGGCGGTAATGGGAAAAGTTTCTGCCTTTGGGCCGAGATGGAAGGGGGGAGGGGGGGAGGAGGGAGGAGGCAATCTATTGGTTTGGGAACGTTTCATACAAGCCCCACCTTATAGTTCCCTTCAGTAAATGGGTTTCGCTTGTTCCTTGTTAACACCATAACTCATCTTGGTATCGTTGGGAATAACATCCAGGTATTGTCTTTGTCGATTTTCGGATATAGGCTTCGTCTCTTCTTTGTTAAGGTTTCGAACTATATTTTCAATAATGTAGTTTATTGAAGTTCTTAATTTTTTTCACTATTTTTTTATTTCTTAATGACATTTACAATATATTTGATGAGGTCTACAGATGATTCCATCTGTAAGATTTGGCCTTCACCATCTTAATCTTCTTCTGGTGACATTGCAGAAGAAGATAAATACTATTCTGGCAGTGGCGGAATAGTGTTGTGTGCCTGTCAAAGGTGACACACAAGTACACTATATTCTCTGCTGGCCTATTTGTTTTGCCTGCTACCCTGAAGATCTAAGGAAGTGGGCACTTGTTCTTCTTTATGGAAAAAAAATATATACAATCGGCCTTCTTGGGATTAACTGTAATATTAAGTCCTTCCAATTTCCCTGTGATTTCTTCACAAAACTCCTCCATCTTCCGTAGGATTCTCGTTGCGTTTAAGGATCAACTATAATTGCAATGTCATCTTCGTATGCTGTTAATGTAGCTTTCTTATACCTTCTTATACTCTCAGTTTTAGTCGTGTACACTCAAAATAGTATTGGGGTTAACAAAGACGCTTGGAGAACACCGCAAGTGAGTGCCACATTTTTGGATATCGCATTTCCGAATCATACACTGATTGATCGTTGCAGCAGAAATGAAGCCATTATTAGTCTATTTATGTGGGTGTAAATTAGTTTGAAATGTAATGATTTCTTGAATTGTAATGATTTGAAAGGTAATGATTTCTTATGTATTTATGAACTTTATCGTATCGTTTATAAGTGAGATGCATATCCATTTGGGTTTATGTGGGCTTGTAATATTTTTCGTTATCCAATTCAGTTTTGAATTTTGGAAAAAATTGAGTTAAATAGTTGTTAACTATTAAATTATTGCTTCTGAATCAATAATTATATTTATACAAATATTCAAATTAATGTTATATGCATATAATAACACATACATTAAACATTCTATGATCATTGATGCAGCCATTTTGGAATATGACTGCTCATTGATGAACGGCTCTTAATCTTGAGTATCGCCCGAGGATCTGCTCTGGTTCAGCATCGATTTGTAAAGGCGCCCACATTAGCTGCCAACCAGTTACTACCGTTGAAACTGGAGCAGAAATTATTATATCTGTTCGGTGTAGTGAATGTTAATCATTCGATCAGGCATTCACCAAGGACTAAATTTGAGACTAGGTTCTCTGAACCATCATGCAAAAGGTTTTTTAAGGTAATATTTTTAATTCGGGGAGTCAGTATTTATCGGAACTTCTTTTTTATTGAATGGTATCTTAGTAACGGAGCACTCTATATTTCTTAGGCACAGTCGCACATTAAGATTTTTTTATAATCTTACTGCTAAATCTTAAATTTATTTATTTATAATTATCTTAAATTTATTTATAATCTTACTGCTGTTATTTATGTATTTATTTCAAAACGGAGAGCGGGGTAGCTCAGTGAGTAAGGCATTATACTCTCATGATTTAGGTGCCAAGTTTAAGCCCGGCTGTGACATGTATTTATTTATTCTGTTAAATCAGTCGTGTATAAACCCAGGGGTCGAGAGACCCTGCAAGGGCACACCCAGCTTGTTTGAATTGAATATTCTTAATTAAGTAATGAATCTAGGGTCAAAACTTGCGTTTGATCTCGGCCCATCACCTCCCTGCACAACCGTTGTTCTAGAAACAGTATTTTTCTTACAAATACTGAACCCGATACGCTACATGTGTTATATTGGTACAGGGTTTTTATTATTATTTTTTTTTATTTTTTTTAAGACTCCTGTAAATAAACTAATAAAAAATTATACAATTTTCTCGATATTTTTTAATATTGATTTTCTTTTTTTTATACGTAACAATTTCTTGATTCTAGTAAGATCTATTGTTCATTATCAAGTTATTTGGTGAACTTTATTCTTCCATTATATTCATTTTTTAAATTTAATTTTGTAATTTCAAGGATTCTTTTCTCATCTTCAGGAATATATTTAAATTCTAGAGAATACACTCTTCTAGGTAATAATAATAATAAAAGGCTTAGCGAACCCGAAGGTTCGATGCCGACACCACCAATCGCTTATTACACACCTCCCTCCACCGTTCGCCTTCCAAACCCAGTCCCTTCAGATTGGCTTTAATGCAATCTTCCCACCTTCGCTTCGGTCTACCCCTCGGACGCTTACCATTCGGCACAGCAAATATTAACCTTTTAGGAATTCTCTCGTTACTAAGCCCAACAATTTTACAAGCCTATTTGATTCACAACGATGAAATTACCTCAATTATATTACCCGGATACAGTTCACGCAATTCGGCGTTGTGTAACCGTCTGAATTCTTCGGTTAACTCATCCTTCTTCGGTCCGAATATTCTACGCAATACTTTATTTTCAAAAACCTTAAGACGCTACTCATTCCTTAATGTAAGCGGCCAAGTTTCGCATCCATAAAGAACTGTAGGCAAGATAATTGTTTTATAGATTCTAATTTTTAAGTTCCGGGACAAGAGGCGCGAACTAAGTAGTTTTGTCACAGAAAAATAACAAGCATTTCCCACCTTCAGTCTAACCTTAATCTCTTCTACTCTTCAAGATAAAACTTGAATAATGATTTTTTAAAAATTTAATTCATATTTATAATTGAATTTAAGACATTAAATTTTATTTATTATATGGTACAAGATAACATGTTTTGAGAGGGATAATTCTAGAAGAAAAATTAATTACAAAAAATACATAAATGGAGACACCAACTGTCATAAATTTGTAAAGATTTATTAAAAAAATACATAAATGGTCTTAGTCTTGGACTATTTTACAGGCTGAGCTAATCAGGGCTTTAACGATGTTTGTGGAGGTTATCTAAACCCAGTTGGGGCAACATTACCGGCCCCTGATCGCCGCGTCCGTTAGCTTGTAGCCATCCTGTCCGACAAATTACCTCTGCTTTCTAATTAGAAATCTGCTAGCCTTTGCCCACAGTAATTTATCACCTTACGAAAAATCTCCATTGATGAAGCAAGTATATCATGTCGAAATTACCCCTTTTTAACCAATTTTCCCCCTGTTTTTTAATGCTGATGATATTTTTCTACTGAGCGATGTTTCTAAAGTTAAACTGAAAAAAGAGTTGTGTGAAAGGTCTCATATAATTACAGTTTCGAACAAAAGCCAACCGAGGTACAACTGCATACCATGGCTGAATTGTGAATGGTCGTTGTAATTCCCGTATTGATTCATTCCAATTAATTGGCTACCCCATATTTTCTTACTGTGGTCAGTTTGAGCCTTCCTCTTTTCCTGATCATCAGTACTGATGTAAGCACTGGTATATAATATAAGCGACGATGGAGGGCGATCAACTGTTCTTTATTATCACAGACTTTAATCTGATACCCCTGCGATATCAGAACGCCAAATACGACACCGGAGAATTTTAGTTTTTTTTTTTTTTTCGTTGAAAATTTAGTATTTGTATTATAAATACGAGTACAACACTTAGCTTCGCTTAAATATTGTTAAAATATGATTTGAAGACTAAAAAAAAAATTAATTAAATTATGGATCTGATTTGAGTTGATTCTGGTTAAAACAGAATATTCAAAAGAAATGTAGAATAATAAGAAAGATCATAAATTATATCAAAGCAAACAGAAGGAGAAAAGGAATAAGGGAAGACTAAGCAGGTGAAAGGTAAAGGACAATCCAAGATGCTAAGTGTCACGCTGAGGTGGCCGAGAGGGCTGACGCGTGCGCCAAGCACGCAAAGCATTAAAAAAAGCATCTGGTAAGCAGTACAACAAGGAAAAAAGTATGTTAAAGTGTTACCGAAAAAGTATACAATCAGGTCATTGTGTAGAGTGTCTAGATATTTTTTAGAGAGTGTCTACTGATGTAAAATGGCTGAAAACAAGATCTGAAATCTAATATCAAATAAATTAGAAAAGTTTCAATTAATCGATTCATGAGCGGTAAATCAAAATCGATAGTTTTTTTCAAGAACAACGTCATAACTCGAAAATAATTCTTATTGTGTTAATATCTAAGTGGCAATTGCAATGTGTTCTTTTTTGACTGATTGAGTGTCATTCCTTAGTCCCCAAAGGCGAACCATGCAATATTTTTATTCTAGTTTAACTATAATAATTTTGTTTTTATATATTAAAATTAACAACTGCATTAATAAATTACAAGTTAATTTAAAATATAAAGCAAGAAACCAACTTGTGAAGGAATTACCCATTTGTCGCTCCCCACTGTAGGCGGTATATTTACATTTTGAGATGCTGGAATTTGACTTGCTGCTTCATGTCAGTTATCAGAAAGCGACAAGATTTTGAAGTGCTACAGCAATCCTCAGTATCAAACTAATGACTGTTAGTGTGTAAAAGAACAACGATGGTGAAACAAAAAGTTTTACAAGTCCTGTACACGATATAATAATATTGATTTTAATTTAATACTAGGATTGTATATTTTGTCGGATACATATATAAATATATCCATCTATTTATTCTCTTTTATATTGTGTTACCTTTACTGGTATGGTGGATCCTCAGGAGAGAAGGGAAGCTTTTAGGCTGAAGCGCCCATCCCCTCTAGAATAGATTGAGTCTTTATTTGCCATCGGTCCATATTTGTTTCTGTGAGTGGTCTGGGCTAAATATTTAAACACTTACAGTATATTTCCTCTTTAAATTATAACATTTATACAATTACTAAATGTAAGTACGTGTCTAGAAAAAAATATAAAATTGTTATCTCTGAAAGCGTTATTGTTCCCAATAATTACTTTTATCCCCACATATATTATTACAGTAAGGCTCGAAATCGGTTTTGTACCAATATAAGCTCCTGTCATGCTCAAATACCATGAAAGGGGTACCGTTGGATTCAGAATTTTCTGGGGGGTTAGCGAATCTTATTCTCCACTTTTGTTTTTCTTTCATACAAACATATTGCTTGGCTTCAATACTGGAACGGTGGTTGGTCTGTAGATCGATGCGGGACGAATTGGACCTTGAAGATTTTGATGCGTACAGCAAGACCCGGATAGTTCCTCCGGAACTATGGGATCCTACGTTTTTAAGCCAAAAAACGTACTATTTTCTAGATAACGCAAGACATGGGGTTCGTATCCACACAACCTGACGTTAATTGTAGTACCGTCATTGGATACATGTCTCATTTCGTCGACTTGAGGTCTCTATGATCGAGACATGAGGAGTTTATATTATTTATCGATGGTGTTTTTGATCAGCAAGCCATATCATCGTTAATTCTTCACCAAATTTCAAGATTGAGCAACCAAGTCCAATCATCCCGAAAATTCAGGCAAACAAATTATGAAAGGAAAGAAACTTTATTTGCGAATAACTAAAAAATTACACACTTTTTCCTTAGTTATTCCCATGATTATATAAAAAATTACTAAATTGTCTAGAAAAGGAAAAAAAAATCATTGAAATCGGACAATTTTTCGCAAAGATACAGCTTACTGAACTTTGTAAATATGTTGGTTCCAAACAGAAATGAAGATTTAAATTAGTTTGGTTTCTTTTGTCGATTATGGTTATCGCTAAAGTAACAATTGATTCCTCTATCTTTTGGTACGTTGAATTATTTTCTTTTCTTATTAATTTCGCATTTTATAACAATATGCTGTGCGCATTTATCGCACGGGCCTACTAGTATTTATTTATTTTATTTAACCACTTATTGAAGTACCACTTAAACATAATGCCATATACTTCCTTTGTTTTTCTTCCTGAGTATTGGCCGTTATAGAAAATATATAATAAGAAAAATTCCCTTTCCCGAATTGAACCCTGAATCCACTACTGCTGGTTTGCTAACCTTAGTAATGAGATAAGTATTCAATCACACAGATATTTCAGTATATAATTATCTGAAAAAAATATGCGAGAGGTCTAAAATTATAATAATTTGACTGTAATAATATTTGGCTTGCAGGAATTTTTTACCCTTTTGAGTGGCGTCTCTTACCCCTATATTAAAATTTTAGAACAGCCCCTGTTCGGCAGATGAAAATTTAAAGTAGCCCCGTGTGTTGGCAAAACTCTGGCCGCCAAAGTTTTAATATCAACAGGGCAGAGTTTGGATGGAGCCAGTAAACCCATGACTCCATACTTATTTTTGGAGTGAATTTTCCAGTGTTGGTTCGGAATAACTTAGCTGGATCATGTGTTGCATTTTAAACTGGTATAAATAGAAAAAGTAACCAAAGGATTTGTGATTAACTTATTATACTTGGTTCACGATTCTATTAGTAATTAGGTCAGTAAGTTGAGGTTGTCTCTGATTCTCTAGTAAATTTACTCTTTTAAAATGAATGCGTATATTAAGAAGTAGATTACATTTTTTTTATTCCTAAGTGTTACTAACGATTAGTGTTGCCCAAATGCGAGACCGAGACGAGTATTGGTCTTGAAAACTCCGTAATAGTCATGGTCTTGGTCTTGCGCAAGACTCTCGCAACAGTCTTGCTGTTACTTATTAGCTTATTACTATAAAGATATTACTGTAATTTTTTAGATAAGAGAAACCTAACTAAGCCCGAATGAAAAATTAGAGGAGTTAAATTCAAAATTATATTGGTTATACCAATTATTAACATATAGTAACTAAAATTGTCAAGAATTAGTAACTATTTTGCCTTAATTTTTATTTAAAAAATCGATTTTTTTTACCAGTCCTGGTCTTGGTCTTGCAACAATTAGGTAACCTTGGTCTTGGTCATGCAAAGTGCAAGACCAAGACCGATTTTGGGCAACACTACTAACGAGGAGCTTAACGGGGAACATTTTATTCTGTCACCATAATGCATAAGTAGTGATTCGACTTAGACAATAAATAAATAGAAAAATAAATGATTCTGAAGAATTGAACTTGATAGAATGCCATCCAGATATTTCTTAACGCCCCCAACCTCATTACGGAAACCGATTCGTCAATAATGTCTCTTCAAAGGAATTTTCTCAGAGCTATTATTTATTTTTACCTGATTCGTTTTTATTTATTCTGCTACTTGTTTGTTCCCACAACCAAAGCAGAAAAAGAAAAAAAAAGTCCTATTAACTTTTGTTCTACTGTTGAGATGAAGGAAGGCGCTGTCATCCCCACATTGCTAAGAGCTACAGGGTGGGAAGGGTTAAGTACTTTTTAAGGAATGAGCATACTCTTGTGGTTTTTACCAAGGCCCTTAGCTCTTGTCCCCTTAGGAGAGAAGAACAGAAACTCCTACCAGAAATAATTATTATTTATTTTTAATTCACATCTCTCACTATTTCCATCATTGCTCATAAACCATCTTGCTCATTATTTCTTTTTTAAATATCAGTGAATTACTTGTTTACTGGTAACATGTCACGCTACACCACTACCCGGGCTTGTATTCTCTATCAACTTATGTTATTCTATGCTATGTTATGCTGTCATGTTATATTGTTTAGTATTGATTTCCGTTACTATCTCTCCAATTAGTCTATTTGTACATCACTGACGTTTCCGGTTACTTATAGACTCATATAATTGACTATAATAATGCCTATTTGGACTAACGGTGTTTCCACTAAGCCATAGAATTCCTCTCGAATCTAATTCGTACAATCCAGAATCGTACGTAAAATTCAAATTGCTCCTTACTGTTTCACAAATTAAACCATTCATAACGATCTTAATATTACACATGTTTCTGATTTGGCCCAGTATCTACTTCAGAAAACATCCAAACCCTCTCGTTTCTAACCTTGATTTCTCTCCGAATAACCCTCCGAGGCGTCTGAAGAGAAGATGGATTCGTGATCTCCAAATGTAGAAGTTTTATTAGAGCGCTGTCGATGTGCAATTTCTATACAAATTTTTTCACGTTATTATATTTCAGATTTATTAGATGTATTTTTATTTTCATTCAGTTGTAAATTTCACTAATAAAATGTTTAATCGTCAATTTAAAATCTAAAATATTTATTTGTATCTATGCTGCTAGTATTGTCCAAATGCGAGACAGAGACGAGTCTTGGTCTTGCAAACTCAGTCTTGGTCATGGTCTTGGTTTTGCGCAAGAGTCTCGCAGTTACTTATTAGCTTATTACTATAGAGATGTTACTTAAATTTACATTAAATGTTTTATAAAAACATCTCAATGAAATAAAATTAAAAATCATCTCGTTCATCAAAGACTAGCTCATTGTGTTTTATTGGCACAATTTTAAAAATATTTGAGGAATATAGTATCGAAGCGTTCTTACCGTTATAAAGTATTCAAAATGCTGTGCATTTTTTTAATGTACTTTAAAGCATTAAATTTTAATATGATATTATGTTTGAATTAATATTTTAAATTAAGATTATTTATTGAAGTAAGTTAGTCGACTGTTCTACATATCATGGGTGATAAATATTCAGGACGCAATCTTTTTTAAAAAAAATATTTAATTTTTTATTTATGCCAACGTTTCAACCCAAACATGTGGGTAATCTTCAAGGCGTGGTTGAGTACTGAGGGTGTTCAAGTACTGAGACTGGAGTACTTGAACCCCCTCAGTCCTCAAACCACTCCCTGAAGATGACCCACATATTTGGGTTGAAACGTTGGCATAAATAAAAAATTTAATTTTTTTAAAAAAAGATTGCGTCCTGAATATTTATCATCCATAAATTAAGATTAAAATAGGATAATGTTTTCTCGGAAATTATGTCTTCGAGTTTATGGTCTTAATATTTTTTCGTCTCTAAATTGCACAGCTAGAATTCTATTAATTCAGAACCAGAACTGTTGAGATGTTTTAAAGTCGAACTAGTAAACTGCTTTGAGTGTAAATCAGTCCCTCAAGTAGTGTGTGCGCTCATGAACTATCTAATAGATAGTGCGCCTTTCTCGTTTGGCACCTATAATATATGAGGCTTACACGTCCTGCATGCTAAGATGTTTCAAGTTTATAAGCATCATAAATGTATATATAGTGTTTGTTACATTGAATTAGAGGTTTCTCCAAACGACCATTTACTAGAATATGCAAAGCTTTCACAAACAATGAGAAAAAAAAGCTTTTAACCGGAAAAATATATAAATGGGAAACGGTGTAATTTGTATAAAATGAAGCTTTTAGCAGGAGGTGTGAGATATTGCCCGCTGGCTGGCTTACAGCTTCCGATAGCAATTCCCTCGCCCCCCCCACCAGTCCTGCTCCCCCACTCCCTCCTCCCAACCCCACAGCCCCTATGTGCGCTTCAATAAACCACTTCCCCCCTTTTTGCTCATTTCTCCCTTTACAGCTTCCTGGAGGAAATACTCGTCCTCTTGCTAGATATGATAACCTATGTACCTCATTTGCTGTGTGGAATTTTCACAGAATATTTTTGAGGGAATTAAGAAAACAACAACACTTACCTCCTCATTTTTTGAGTTGTTAATTTTAGTTGTTAGACTGAAAAAAAATCTTACGTTTGTAATATTTCAGTTTTAGGATTATCTATTTTCAAGGTTTTCATCAGATCTTTTTTTTTGAACATGTAAAAAAATACATATTTTCCAAAAAAATTGACCCACTTAAATTAGCCAAAAAAAAAGGGTGCTTGCAAAAGGTCATGTTACTCAACATGACCTTTTTTTTTCACACTGTTAGACGTACGAGGAGCATGCAAAATCGAACTTTTCGATATTGAAAATCTCGTGGATGTTGGAGATATTTTTTTGGTTTAACTTAAATATTTACCTTTTAAAGCGATATAGCTGAATGATGATCATATTCTATCTTAAACAGCAATTTAACAATTTGCTGAAAACAAAAAATTATTCATGTTTGTTTTGCGAATTTTCGAATATTTAGCTATATATAGCGGAGATATTTAGCTTAAAACAAAAAAAAATCCTAAATTTTATTGGTCTTGGGAACACTGCAATGGACCCACAAGCCTTTTAATGTCGAAATCTTGATTTTTTATATTCACATACAACTAATAACAATATATGTACATAGTTATGACTGAGTTTTTAATTTACTTATATTTAGGTTATTTTATTTTTTATTGTACATGGTTGTTTGATTATTATTTAGTCATTATTTTACTTTTGTTAGTTTTATGTTTTCTGTATATATGGTGTGAATGTGTTCATGTCTCACTATAATTATTGTCCAGTGACAGATTATTATTTTTTTAAATAAAAAAAATAACTATATAAAAAATTAATTAATTTTCCCAAGGTAAAATAACTAATTTGACTGGGCTAACTGGCTACTATGTAGGAGGTATCAACGGAAATGGCATACCTTCCAATATTTTTATTTGTTTTGTTTTTCAATTGCTCTAGTTGTACTAGTAACATAATATTTTTTTTTTCTGGCTTGCCTTAATCAGCCTCCTCCACCTCTGCCTGTCTTGGACTATTGCTTTTCAGTTTGCAGCATCTTTGCTTATTCTTCTTGTCAAATATTGAGGAATTCATGGATTGCTTCGAGCTAAACCTATCTTAACCTCTTTATCATCATATCATCAGATATAAACTGACCATCTATCTGTAATATCTTCTTTATTTGTTCTCCTCTTTTTTTTCAATACTCTGCACCCAGATTGCTCCGATTATATTAATTAATAAGTTTATTCACAATGATGAATTAAATTTGTTAAATAAACTGGAAACGTTGAAGGTCGTCCTCTCTTGCTCAGCCTGAGGATGGAGCCAAATCAGCCCTTTGTGTACCGTTTTGCATTGATTGAATTATCCCTCACTTATGTATGTATCATCATGTATGTATAAGTCCAAAAGAAGAGATTAGAGGATTATGGTGGCCTAACAACGCCATTCTTTAATTTCGGTTCGTGGGGCGGCATTGTCTGGTTCATGGTGTAAGTACTTCTTAGAGATCTAAATATTTCTAGAAAATCCATCGGGGTAATTATAACAGATTTTCTTGGGATTAATGCTTAATCTTTTTATCAGATCTTACATTCCGTTTGCAAAGAGTTGTTCTCAGAATAGTTGGGTTGTAACTTGGGACAGAATGCTGACAGTGACTTATGAGATTGATAAGGAGGCAGACGAGCCATCAGATATTGCAAGAGTTAGCGAGATGGGGTTGAGGTCTGACCGCATCACGTCTCCAGTATCGGGCATTGTTTCCCTCGGGTTCATAATTGCTCTATCTCTCAACTTCCACTTGGACTCCGTGCACAGCTAATTGGATGATAACCTCTCTGTCGCCCTTTCAGGTAGCTTAAACTTCTACTTCGTCAAGGCAGCTGAGAATAGTTTATATTTGATGTTCCATCGCTCTTAAATTATACAATAAAAAACAGTCATTATAAGAAGTAATGGACTTCTTTAATCACCTTTCTAACATTTAAGAACATAGGTGATAAATATTCAGGACGCAGTCTTTTTTAAAATTTTTATTTTTGCCAACGTTTCAACCCAAACATGTGGGTCATCTTCAGGGCGTGGTTTGAGCACTGAGGTTGTTTATGTACTGAATATTAAGGTCATTAAAGAACATGTTTTAATTTTCTAGTTATATCATTCAGGTTCGGTGCCATTTTCTCATAAGTTTTTTATAAAATATTAGGCCAAAGGTCAATGTACAGTTTTAGATGAAAAGGTAGATGTTTAGATAGGTAGATGAAATTTTTTTTATAAACTAAAATTTGGACTATTTATATAACTGATAGTTGGGAAATTAATATGTGTCTAATAAGGATGTAATTTGAACTATAAAAACTGAATTAAAATTAGTTTGCAGGATCTTGAAAATGGCTCCTGATGCCGAACCGTCGAATAAATAATACCGGATGTAAAAACTTTTTTGTGACCTTTTGCTGAATATTTTATAAAAAAAAAAAATAATAAAGAACATGTTTTAGTTCTAAATATATACTTACATGATATTCTCTTCTTATACCGTTTTTGAGGTTTAAACATTTTGGGGTCATTCGCAATTTAGGTTAGTGAGAGATATTTATATGGCTCCAGAAATGACTATATATATTTTATTTATGATTCAAACATCTTAGAAGACATATCTTACCATATATTTTCTCAAAATGTATTAGGATATATATTCGCTGTTTAATAATGGGTCATGCTGCTTCTCAGCGTTCTTCAACCATTATCCCTTGTATGCAAAAAAAAATCAAAAAAAAATCAGAAATTGATTATTTTCGCCAGCCGATTTCGGCAAACAATACCTAGATCACATACTTCAATAACAAGTTTTATCATATAGCACTACTGTATACAGTCACATTAATTTTCAACTTATTTCTTTTGTTAAATGTTGTTAAAGTAAAATTAAATTTAACTATAGCTGTTTTGAAGGTCTGCTCTCTAATTTTTAGCTGTTCCTTTATTTCGATTAATGTCTACGTTTGAAGCCTGCCCCCTTCCCTCTGTCTTGACTACGCCCATGGTAATGGTTTGTTGACTATTATGGGTCGCATGCCTACTTTGCGATTTTCCAAATTCACAACAGCTCACATGTTTATTATCTAATTGATGATAAGTGCAGATTAAGATCAGAAGAGACCATCGTTCATGTTAACATTAGGTATTTTGGTTCATGTTCATTTTTAATTTTCTTATCTAAAGCAATGGAGATGCTTATTAAAGAGGTATTACGAATAACAACGATATAATAAATATTTTATTGAAAATCGACCTGAAGAATAAAGGTAGAATTATTACCTGTCTAAAGTGGTTTTCAGATTAATGTTTTCAATATCTCCTTTATTTCCTGTTGATACAGGAAAGTAAAAGCTAAAAAAGTTATTACTATTTTTTATTACTACATGGTAAGTCTAGAGAGATTTATTTTTTAACTATTATTTCCTATTGCTATTAAGTAACCCTCATGAACTGTATGCTATGATGGTGTTATGCAATTTTCCTTATGCCCTAAATGATGGTGATTAACTGGTGGTTTATAATCATGCTGTTAAAGGGGTGCATGCCAGGAAGTGAAACCTGGTGTGAGTAACAATACAGAAGTAAAGTAAGGAAAATAAAAATCAATATATTTATAGTGTTGTAAATAATGCCAGTACCATAGGTGGAACCATCCATTATGAAGGCATAAATTGTTTAAATGACATATAATGTTTAAAGAATTATTAGTTCCTTTGATCTTAATGACTTAAGTTTTTACTGTTAAAGTTCCTATAGCCCTGGGAGTAAACTATGATAGGTTCTATATTTCATAAAGCCATAGGTTATTCAAGATTTTTTTTTATACCCTCCAATTAGAGTAGAATTACTCTACTTTTGAAAAACATTTCTTGTTTAGTGCCCTTTAAGTCCATATTAGTTGAGTAAAAAAATATATATGATTTGATATTCTGACTCTCCGAATAACCTGTGTTACCCGAATCGCCTGTAGCAAAAATAATAATAAATAAAGCTTTGATTTCTTCTTTTTTTGTGTGAAATTTGGTGTATCATGATAAATCAATAACGAATAAGCAGTATTCATGGATAAAAATATTTGTTGATCATCTTAAGTGATGACGAACTAGTGTTAGTCCGTAGTACAGACCCCTTTTTATGATATCAGTTACATCCACCTGAAACTTCGTGAATAGCTTCATCTCATTGGGAATTGGGGCGTTTTCAATCAGGAGATCGGCAAACTTCATCTATTTAATTAGGTACTAAAAATCCGTAAGTACCATTTGCTCTCCACTTGGATTGTAAGATAATTTGATTAAAAAATCGAGAATAAAAATGACCTACAAAAATATTGGGCCTATATAAGCTCGTATTTTGACATGTTGGGGGTATAGATTACGCCAAAAGGCTCAATATTTTTGCGGGCGACCTTTTTTCTGGATATTGTGAACAAATTATCTTACGATTCAAGTGGAAAACAAATGGATGTTTACAAGTTTTAGTATCTAATTAAATAGACAACGTTTGCGAACTTCAGATCGAAAACGCTCCGATTTCAAGAGTTTTTGTAAATAAAATAGTTGTAAGTTACGATGAGATAAAGCAATTCACGAAGGCAGATGTTAATAATTTGACCAAAAAAAGGGGGTATGTACCACAGAATATGTTTTTTTTTTTCACAGATCTCCGTTATAGGGATGTTTTCTTTTATATTAATACATTTAACTAAATATTCCAAATCTCGTTATTTACCTGTTGATGAAAATAATTAAATTAATTGAAATCATATGAGATTCAGGTTATTGAGCTAGGTCATTACCTGTAGAATCCTATCAGTTTAAGGTTAGTAATTATAGTTTTTCGTATAATAAAATGCTCTAACTCGTTTCAGTTTTAAGAAATATAAAAATATAACAAACCTGTAATTGACATCTGCACTAAAATGTAGTATATTAATTTAAACCTCCGATTACATCAGTCTATTTAAAAGTTTTGTTATTCTAAACTTTTTCATAATTAATCTATTAATTAACATTGACGACTGTGTTATACATTTAAAATAACGCTCAGGGGAAACTTTATTATTTTAGAGGCACGGTTTGTGTCAAGAACTGTTATTTGGGCGTTCGGTAAGATTAGTGGTTGGACAAAACCTGAATTACAGTTGGGATAAATCTAAATTGAAAGAGATCTAGCCGACGACAGAGATAGTTAGTAGTTGGGACGAGAGACAGGATCCAGGTTGTTAGTGAAGTCGTGATCATCAGGTCGGCTTTGTTTTTCTACTCCACTCTGTTGTGAAAGCCTTCTTAACTCCATCTCCTTTTACTATTGTTTAATCTTAATATTTATCTGGCTATAAACTTTATCAAATAATTCCTTTGATGGGGTGAAACGACCCCATCTTTTTTTTATTATTATTATTAGTTTACATTCTTCAGCTTTCTTCATTATATTTACTTTATCTTATTTAGTTACATAGAAGAGACTGAGGTTCACGGGGTTATGCATATTTAGTGGCAACCGTATTTTTGTGGAGTTTCAATTCAGAACTTTCCAATCTAGGAACAAGGGAAAAAGCTAAACTACAATTTATATATTTTGAATTTCCCGAGGACTTATTTTTTTTTGTTTTTTTAATGAAATTTACAACTGTATAAACAATATAACTAGTAAAAATGCATACATTCCAAATCATGACATAAACAGACTTGAAGAGATACTGCCCAGTTGTAGATCATGTGGCCATCTTCTTTTCAGACGCCTAGGGGGATTATCAGGAATCGAGGAATAATCAAGGCTGGAAACAAGTGGATTCGGATGGAACTGGACTAGGGCTAAATCATCGACATATGGGACGTTAAGATCTTTATGAATGGTTTTATTTGTGACAAAATATGGGGCGTTAAGGATTTTGGATTGTAAGGATTGGATACGATAGGAATTCGATGGTTTGGTAGATCCCCAAAGTTCAACTCCGTGTGTCCATATAGGTCTTATTATGATCAAGTAGATGAGTCTTTTGTAATTAATTGAAAGTCTAGAACGTTTGTCAGGTAAGTGTTGGAGCAGTCAGAAACGTCGAGTAGTTTCTTGTCGTTTGAGTCTAGTATGCGGATTCCAAGTGGACGTTTATCCAAGGGGAGTCCTAGGTAGCGGATTTGTTCAACAGGAACAAGTGGAATATCATTGGAGGATATTGTAGAACAGGAAGTTGTAGGTTTACGACGATTAAAAAGAGATTTAGTTTTACTTATTTAAAACATTGTTTCGAGGAACGATTCAGTAAAGTAGGATATTTGTTCTAGAAGGGATATTTTACCGCCCCTTTAACCTCCCGCCATGTCCGCAACTATATTTTATGTAATATATCTTGAAAAAAATGTTATCATCATATTATAACATTAACTTATTTCATTGACTGAATTAAGGTGAAAACCACAACTAAATTAGTTATAACACGTTTGGGACAAATGGTCCTATTCCCCACTCCGCCCTTTGTTCCGGCCCTGAAATTACAACTTAATATTCTCTCATTAAAGGATACACGAAAAATAAAATATATATTTATAATATTTGCTGTGAGTAAAGAGATTACACTTTTTACACAGATTTTTGTGTTCGAATTTTTCTTGTGTTTTTTGTTCTTGAATTTTTTTTCCTTTCACAAAAGTTGAGTTGTCTCAATTACTGAGCGGTTTGGGGTGCTTACACATTAATACATGAAAATAAAAATAGATAAATTAAAAATACTAGACCATATTACATTATTTTTTCCTTGTCAGTTAATGGATAGATTAT